TTATTTGCATCAAGCAGTTCATCTTCATTATCATCACCAACAGATTCTTGATTATGGGAATTGCAATGTGATTTTTCTTATAAAGGTTTCCATATTTTTTAATTTCCAACTATTTTTTCTTTTGAAATAATTCACTTCATTCCAAGAACTTTTTTCATGCTTTAATAAATAGATTTTTAATTTTTTATTAATTAATCATTTTATAATAAAGCTTAAAACTATTTTTTTTTTACATACATAAAGACAATCCTCTTTTTTTGAATGTATAAAACCCATATTGGATCAGAGTCTTTCAATAGAGGCAGAATTTATACAAATTTCATGCAGGTGAAGAGCTAATCTTCACAATTCAGGTGCTTCACTATTTGCTAAATCTCAAAATCAACTACTTCACAATCAAGTTGACTAAATGTTCTCATACCAAAAGAAAGTATAAGCTTTTTTTTTGATATAATAAATATTCACACAAAATTCTGATTGGTGATGCACCAAATCAAGCCTGATAAACACTGATCAAAATAAGTACATGAAGGATTGTTTATATTATTTTTAAAAATGAAATTTTCTATTATGGGTGAAGACCAATGATAAAAGTAAAAGTGGTTGTTCTGTCTTTTTTCAAAACAGTGATGCCCATATTTCATATATAAATATGTTTTTTTTTTCAAAAAAAATGAATTGATCTACCTCTTTATCATACAATAAATTGGTAAATTTTATTAGTTTATTTAAATGACCAACCAAATGACCTTAATGACCATCAGATGACCATCAGATGACCTAGTCATTTGGGTCATTTGGGTTGGTCATTTGTCATCGCCGACTCCTGCTACTCATCAAATGGTGGCATTGGATGAAGATGGTAGTAATGCTGATATAGTCTTTATTTGTAAGGATTGTAAAAAAGATTACAATAATAATGCTCTTCCTTGATGTGAATAATGTGATAAATTAAAGAGAAACAGAAATAACTGTTTAACAATGAATAAGTCTACTAGTCCTCTTACTACAGAAGAATTAATTGCTTGGTCTTTTAGTTATCATCTAGAAAATAAAACTAGCGAACTAGAAGAAGAATTATCAACTACAAAAGAAGAAAATGGTCAATTAATTGCTCAAATTGAGGTTAAAGAGACTGAGACGATCTTGATTGAAAATAAGAAAGTAATTTAAAGAAGATTAAGGAAATATTTCTTCTATATAAATTTAAATTCATTTCAACTATCAAAGAGAATTATAGTTATGTTCCTTTAGATGTAAGTTAATATTCGACTTTTGATATCTTATTGATGATAATCCAATGATTATAAAAAAGCAGCTACAGTATTACTGACAAAGATGAGATTTACATTCTTCCTGATTACAA